GTGCTGGTGCGTCCTTAACGTTTAGTGGCACCGGAAGAGCTGGCTTGACCGTGGGGGGTGGGGTGGGAACTGCTTCGGTTCTAAGCCGGAACGCGGGAAGCGACCCTTGCTCTCTTTTCGTAGAAGAGCCTGGGGGCTTCTGCACCGCCCTGAGGGGGAAAACACCCGCGCTCATACAGAGGGCTAAAAACGTTCAGTGCCCGGGAGTGATCACACGTTAAATGGAACAGTGTACTACCTGCACTTGCTTAGATTCTTGGGAGAATCTAGTCAAACTACATATACATGGATGTTAATCCCAATTTTCCCACTTACTGATACATTTCACCTCTGTATGGATGCATTTTCTTCTAAAAGAAGGACCACACCTCATTATTCGCAACCTTTCTTGTTCATTGAGCTGATCTTAACACAAGTATATGTTAGGGATCTGGAATGGGAGATCTAGATATGCCTTGACCTTGTGATAGACCAGTGATGGAATCAGTGCTCAAATTAAGGGGTGGGCAGTATAGTATATACACCAATTCCAGCCTCTGAATTCCTTTTAATTTTTGCTTATTCCAGGGGCCCTGAAATACCTGAGGAAACCAGGTCTCAAGTGCCACCTGTACATTAAGCCCCAATTGTAGTGAATTTGCAGATGTGTAAATAGGGAAACTAAATATTCAGGCAAAAAAGCAAGACAAAGGGTGTGGAAGGTCACTGCAGTTAACTATCCATGTAGTGTTTGCTGACAAGGTTCAGGAAAATGTTAAGTAAAGCCTTGTTTATCTTGAACTCTCAATCTTAAGGTACATTTACTTGGAAGAAACTTCAAATAGTTTCTAGCAGGTGTGCCAGGAGTTTGCAACCACATCTGTCTTGCCCTGTAAGGTGTAATTGGATATGCATTTCATTCCACGGTCAGAAAATAGGTCAGTCTGTTTGGCAAACAATATTTTTGTGACAATATGAAAATGTGTATTGATGACAACAAAAGATACCACTAGAATTAAGGCTTGGCAGTCATCTATCAGGGGGTGTCATAGCTGTATCCTGACTGGAAATCCTGTGAAGCAGGGGTTGGACTAGATTGTCTCCAAGATGCCTTACAATTCAATGAAAGTTAAACAGAGGAGAAGCAATTTCAGCCGTGGTTCTGGAATGTGTGGCATGTGTTTTATGCCAATGGTATAGAGAAGACAAACAATAAATGAAGGTTTATATGAATTTATCTTTACTAAAGCTTCTGCTGCATGTTCTGCAAACATGGAATGTTTGTTGACTGTCTAGTCACCAAGATACGTATACTCATTCTCATTGTCAAGTTTGGTTTGTTAAAGTATCAATGTGGGTGACCTACAGTATTTTGATTCCTTTGGTGTCAAGTTTGGTTTGTTAAAGTATCAATGGGGATGACCTATTTTGATTCCTTTGATGTTCAGTCACCTTGCTGCTGTGATCCAGTATATTTTCCAGCATCCTAAGCCAGTAGCTGAAACTCTATTCTACATGTCCAAATTGGTTTTCCCAAGGTGAATTAGAATTCTGTACACGAAGCCAGGAGGATCACAAGATCTGACATCCAAAAGATCATGTGATTGAGGGAGAGGGAAGCAGGTGACAAAGCAGGCAGGCTTCCTAAGAAGTAGCTTGAATTAATCCTTAAAGCAGTTAGAGATAGGTTTCAGTGGTAGAGGGTTATAAAAGGACAGTTTCTGAGACTGCTACAGTGCCACCACAGGGATGAAAGATGCACCTGACTCCAATTAATAACATTTTGCCACAGGCTTTGCATTTTCATCCCCCTCCAATCAATTAAACTAAGGTATCCACAGGAACAAATATGATGTTGCATAGTATGAAGACAATAGTAATAATACAAAAAGGGAAATCAGTGCATTTTTCTGCTTACATTTGAATCACTGCTTGTTGTGTTAAATGATGTCTTTATTAAGTTTCAGAACACAAATCCCTTATATACACACACATGCTGAAGTGTGTAGGTGAGTCCTAACACTGCATAAAATTAAGATTTTTTTTGTTTTAAAGCAAACTAACAAAAACAAATCATATTGAACAAACTATACCACAGAAACAGTTACATTTTATCTGGAACATTTTCGTTTCCAAATATTAACAGGAAACACTCATTTTTGTATAAAATTATTGTTTTGTGTATTATACTTCCTTCGAAAGCCCTGTTGTTAGGCATCCTTCAGTCTCAAGATACTATGGTAACGTTTTCTGTATGGAGGACTTAGAACAGCGTCTAGTGTGGCTGAGAAGGCCAATTCGAGAGTGACAATCCCTTCCACACTGAAGACAAATACATTCTGTCCCCTGTCCAGCTCCCTGATTTTGCTGCTTCTGGGACTGCCTCTTTGCCTCGGCCTGCTGGACAAGGGTTTCTTCAGATTGGGAGATGCTGTGATGCACCGCCTGCCTGCAGGCTGAATGCTCAGGTGTCTGGGTTTCCCATCTGTTGAGGTCCATTTCTAAGGCCTTCAGATCCCGCTTGCAGATGTCCTTGTATCACAGTTGTGGTCTCCCTCTGGGGTGCTTTCCCTGTACTAATTTTCCATACAGGAGATCTTTTGGAATACAAACATCAGCCATTCTTACAACATGCCCAAGCCAACGGAGACATCGCTGTTTCATGTACATGCTAAAAATTTCAGTTCATTCTAGGACTACTCTATTTGGAACTTTGTCTTGCCAGGTGATACCAAAAATGCATTGGAGACAGTGCATATGAAACATGTTCAGCTTCCTCTCCTGCCGTGCACAAAGGGTCCAGGACTCACTGCAGTACAGGAGTGTGCTCACGACATAGGCTCTATAGACCTGGATCTTGGTATATGCCGTCAGCTTCTTATTAAGCCATACTCTCTTTGTGAGTCTTGAGAACATGGTAGCTGCTTTGCCAATGCGTTTATGCAGCTCAACATCTAGGGAGAGAGTGTTAGAGATCATTGACCCAAGGTTCACAAAGTCATGAACAACCTCCAATTCTTGCGTGGAGATGGTAATAGAGGGAGGTGAGTCCACATCCTGGCGCATGACTTGTGTTTTCTTCAGGCTGCTTGTTAGTCCAAAGTCTTGGCGGGCCTTGCTAAGACGATTCATGAATTGTTGGTGGTCTTCAGCAGAGTGAAGTCAGTTTAGATGATTCATGAATTGTTGGAGGTCTTCAGCAGAGTGAAGTCAATTCTGACTTGAAAGCACAGTGTGTGCTCGT